CTACGTTTTTGTTTTCTCGGAGGCTCGTCTTCACTGAATCTTTTGTCTTGGTCTGTATAGGGTTCGCCTTGTAAAACTCTCTAAAATTGTGCTACATGGTATGGCATTTCATGTGAACTGTTGCCGTCACGGTAAAAAAAAAACACCCTTACGTAATATATATTTCTCTGTGATTTTCAAATACATAAAATGTATAATTAGGCTGAGCGGATCACCATAATGATCTCTAGATAGCCGACATCAAACGACCACCGCAAATCATTGGATTTGTATACGGAAAGTGCTACCTGCAGGTGAAATCTCTACCTGCGTCGGAGAGTCACTCCTCGTGCGACAAAGTTTTACGTTAACGAGAGTGAATTGAAACGCTAACAGCAAATTGACGCCAGCCGGGTTGATTGACGTCCACGCTGGGCTAAATTGATCGAGTGGGAAGATTTGAAAGGAAATCTCGTTCAACTAATCCTACTTGTGTACTTAGGATGCAAAAAGACTTGAAAACAATTTGGTGCTTGATTTGAGGAGAGATTACACAACGGACAAGAAATACTCCTTGAAAAAACCGCGTGACGACGGTCACACAACGCATGATCGTCACACAATCACTTTCTTTGTTTCGTTTATTTATAAGTGAGTGAAAACCTGGAATTGTTTTGGACAGAAACAGCGAGAAAACAAGGAAAATACCACCGATCATGCATCGTTATAAATAGTTCGGACAATAACAACAATTTCACACATGACAAACGCAAAACTCATGGAATAGCTATGTCTCGAGTCAGCGAGTTTTCAAGGCAATCGGGGAATGGAGTTCAAAGGCTGATAAGCATTAATCCAGTGTTAATGTCGTAGTTTTGTTAGGATTAGCGTTGATTGAGCCTTGAATAACCCAGGCCTCAGCTGATTTGTCAAATCTGATATGACTCATTATTAACATGGATTTTAAAACTCTGAAAAAGAATAATCCTTTATCTTGAGAATATTYAAGATTTGCCAGTGCTTACTGTTGGCCTTGAATATTTGCAGGCGCTCGTTGCATGACGTAGAAGCATAGAAGCTCGCCTAAGGCTCGTTATTTTTAATCAACTTTCTATTCATTCCATCGTTCACATCTATTCATTCACTTATTTAAAAGTATCCATAGAAATTCCATCTCTATATTTGACAGTTGTACAGTACAAGGCACGTTACCCTATCATTCTAGACTGATATTTACACGACTTGATTCGGCGCACAGCCGACAGAGATGTTCCCAACACAGCGTCGCGCAAAAAAGCAAGAAAGAAAAAATTTGAAAAAGAAAAGAAAAAAAGGAAAAATGATGATCTGATGTAGATCTGCACCAGTATTCGGAAAAAAAGACGTACTTCACAATTTTTTTGAAGCAAAACTAAGTAACGCTTTTTGTTCCTATACTTTCTTTCTTTGTAAGTTGAATCGTGTATTGACATCTTCACGACAATCCGTATCGCAGTTATGTATCGCTGTGAACAGTATTGATCGACTTTCGACATAGAAATCCTTGCTTTCTCAATCATTATTCGAAACGAAACGAAACAAAACCCAGCTGATAAGGACAGTGTTCGCTAGCTTCCTCCCCAGGCAAATCTTTCTTCTTCCTTTGGGCTTTGGGACTAGTGACGAGAAACTGAAAAATAAGAAGAGGAGGAGTCACCCCATTCTCCCTCTTTTGACTCCAAAAAAGACAGGAAGCCCGTGCTGATTTTTAGAGATGCCTCTTGTGTCTGTTGTGGTTCACGATTAAATCGTTTATTAAATTGTATATATACGTTCAAATCCTTGTTCAATCAATCAATCAAGTTTATTTCACCAATAGTAGCTATGTTGTTTACATTCATTGTGTATTAAATATTATTAATTATTATTTCTACTTGATGAGGAATCTACGAAAAGCGTGGCATGGCTTATTGTTGTAGATCCCTTTACAATAATGAAAATTAAATAAAGTAACATGATATAGCTAATCAGCATATTTTGATTATATATTTTTGAATAAATCTTGATAAAAAAAATTAATCTCAATTCAATTCTTTTTATTAATTCTTAAAAATCACTATTTGTTTAGATAGTATAGTTCCAATTTTTTGATTCTGAAAATTTGATAACTTTGATTCATATTTGAATAAAACTTGATAAAATTAATCTTCATTAATTCTTAAATTCATAAATGTCTATATTTTCTATATATGTAGATTGTATGATTCCGATGATCATTCTTATTCAATCAATCACTATTTATCAATTGTAATTTTAGATGTTTTTTGAAGATTGCCAGTGTTTTACATTTTTTACTTAGTTCTTGAAATTTGTTCCATACTTTTGGTCCCATGAATGAAATAGAAAATTGTCCAAATTTTGTATTTCTAGAAGTTATATGATAATTCTGTGACTGTCTTGTGTTGTAGTTATGTTATTGGAGTTTTTATGAAAATAGTTGTAAAATGTAGCCTTACGCTTTTGTATTGACATTCGTTTACTCACTAGAGCTATATTACGGTTACGGTTACGATACAACTACCAGAACTACAATAAATAAATGAAATTACACTATAAATAACTAAACGAAATAGAGTGGTTTTCATAAACCCGTTGAAACAAAGTGTAATAATTAGAGTGTAATAGATTGTAATAGTCGCGTAGAGACAATAAAAAACAAAAGAGCCAAAGTATAATAGCGATAAATACGCTAAAGTGTTAATGAAAAAAACCACTCTATACG